TTAGTAGTCCACAAGTGAGAATCAGAACACACAGCAAAAGCTAGTAGAAAATGTGTGCAAGTAACAAATCACCACGGTAAATAAATGTGTCCCGTAGTAATTCTTTGAAAGGAAGATTAGGGCGTGATTGGTTCAGGATTATTATATCCAATATGCCCGTGGTGCTCTGCCAGCGCCCATTAAAGCAGCTGCTGCTGTGCTGGCCGTGCTGGGAAAGAGCTGGGGCTCCTGGCCGTGCTCCCTAGCAAAGCAGCCTGCTGCCAGGGGTGGGAATTCTCCCCCTCTGCCCACACCCGAGCACTAACACATATGTGTATTTAGGTAAAACCTTCCAAATTCTTATTTTGCCCCAGCCAAGTTAAACCCACGTTAACCACACCCAGGGAGTTTCCAGCAGGCTTTGAAAATGCCTGGATGTAAATGGGGTAAAATTGCTTCTGTTTCAATTGTAAGAATTACTTCAAACCAGGGAAAACTGGTGAATTTAAAGCTACAGTGCTGATAGTACCACTGGAAAATGACCAGGTAAAATAAGTGTTTAGTATTATACTCAAATATATCTCGGCGAAGGAGCAGTTGTTATAAAAAGCAGAACCTTCCTGCCCGTTTTACATAGCAGCAAAAATCAATTTAAACTTTAACCTCCTTTCCTCCCTCTCAAGCAAGTGGTAATTTCGTTTTCTTTTTTAACCTTGACTATATTTCATAATAATGCTGAACAAGGAATTAGGGATTTTGCATTAATTACTTCTTGTTGGCAGTAAACTTGCCTGTTGCAGGGAGGCGTGAATTCCTCTGGTAAAATCTTAGCAACAAAGGAGTTGATGAAAAAAATTCCTGCTAACTTACACGTAGCCAAGATTTCACCTTTGATCTGTAGGTGGAATGCAAAAAACATTGCCTCCCAAGCCACGTATGTGGTTATCGGTTACGGCACGCTGTCTTCTGTCCTGCCCAGGCGCACCATCCTCTGTAACACGTGGGATGTATAGAGCTGGGAGAACCTTCTCTAAACTCATGGAGGGTTTTGTTCACATTGGGAAAATAAGTTGGTTTGGAGCTTGATAATTAGCAAGAGCGGCTTAGAAATGGGAAGGAAACAGCTTTATCATTTGTGAAACATTTCAAAGTACATCAAGAAACCAACCACGTTATCTGCTTTGGAGTGAAGCCAAGAGTTTGACAGTGTTTTCTATGGAAAAAAGAACGAGTGAACACCCACCCCAAAATAGCCAGCAATGGAACGGTCAGGGAACATGTGTGGGCTGAGGCAGCCAGTTTTTGGCTGTGAACTGAGAAATGCATCTGATGAACATATTAGTGTGACCTCCACCTCCTTCGCCCAGGAAAAACCCTCTGTCAGACAATTCTCAGCCAGATCAACTGGTAGTCGATGTTTTGTTAACCATCGAGAAGCTAATCCTATTTTAAAAGACGTTGTGAGTGACCCTTAGAGAGATGAAGTTGCTATGACTTGTAACTCATTATCCAGACACAAACCAAGTGGACAGTTCTCAGAGAACTCTTTGAGTCCATCACTGCAGATCTCTGTAGCCCAGGTATTTTTCTGTGTTCCGGTTTGTGCCCGCTAAGGACCTCCATGAAAGAATGATATTAGCCATGGCTATTGATCTAGTCCTTGACTGACTATTAAAATTTCTTCTTAATTTGGCCGTTTGTCTTTTCTAGAACATCAGAGGATGGAAGCAGTCTCTCTTTAATTATTTATTGATTTGCTTTTTGGCTTGCTTTCTTGTGCTGAGAACGTGGTCTTTAATGAATGAGTCTAAAATGACTTGCGTTTGGTTTTTCTGTGTGACGGAATTTCAGATGCCGGGTTAGTTTATTTGCTTTGACGCTCTTATTGCATCCTTTTTATATTGACTTATTAAACGCTTATAAAATATGCATGGTGCAGACAAAATAGACTCAAGTGACAATTACTGCATGAAATTCAAGATTTATGCCTTATTCCCAAGGCTGGAACAAGGATATTTGTAAGAGCATTTGAGGCTCCAGGAAGAGGATTGTAGAGGACAGCTCTTTACAGGCACAGTGGTTGTACATACTGCATAGGGCAAGTCCATCTGTGTAGGGACTTAAAGCTTTCTTTATGGCCTTAGTTGAAGGCTATGGCATAAAGTCCCGCTAAGAGTTGCCTGAATGCTTGCTGCTACATATTGCAGGTTAGTGTCTATTCTCTGACCTGCTTTCAATAATAAAATGGAATGTCTGATAACTCTGACTTTATGAAGCTGCAAAGAGTGATCCTGGCTTTTAAAACTTAAAAATAATGTCATTCACTTGAGTGAAAATACCCATCCTGTACAAGGGAATCCTCACAAACTGTCAGCTTTTCACAACCTGGTAGTTGTAAATTTTCTCTTGGTACAAACCCACAAGGATAAATTTCAGAAATATTTGTAGTATGTTTTTCAGTGTAGCCGTTTGGTTTGTTTAGTAATGGAGTTTATAAATGACAGGTAAGCGAATGGACTTCCACCAAAAACTCAACTAAACCACCAATTACTTCTAATCAGTCTAAATTTAATTTTGCAGAAGTTATCTTTTAGTTAAAGAAATTTGGGGCAAGAATGATTTCTTTTTTGTTCTTTACAGTGCCAAACACATTGTCATGGCTTTTGGCTAGATTTCACCGGACTTCTATTAACGCTGACCCACTCCTTTTTTTGCAAGTAGCCCCACAGAACTCAACAATTTGATGTGTCTAGGAACTAGTGATTCTGGTGCTTAACAAATTACAATTATTATAGATGTTAGTAAGAAAAAAGGTGTAAGCTAGGGGAAAAGGGATACAAGGAGAGAAGTGATTACAACTTTCAGATGTTGTTTTCCAAGTATTTGGATTGAAGAAAGGGACAGTGCAGCTTAATGAAAGTAGTCCAGAAAGCAGTTACAGAAAAGTGTTTAATTTTTTTTTTAAACAAATCTGTAAACATACTCTACTGACCATAATCTCAAAATTTTTCCTCTTAGGTCTACCTTGTAGTAATTTCTTTTCATTGTGTATGATACATGTAATGATCTTTTCTGATAGACTGATGTATTTTTAAGGGTAAGAAAGGCTAGATTGTTCTTTTAATTAGCATTCAGAACAGGCAAAGAAGGATGGATGAAAGTTGGATCTGTTATCTGGCTGGTTAAATAGTAGTAAGTGCAGTCATTACCCAGTTTAGTGCTCAAGGGCAACACACAGAAATCCTTTCATTGATTCAATTTACCGGAAGATTTAAAGGCAAGAGAATAATTTGAAATTTTATGGGAATGTGTAATATCTCAGGTTTATGTTGCATTTTCCTACAGTGAAGTGGAGAATTCAGAGATAAAGTAACCCTTAACATTTTCTTTGAGCCTTGAAATATTATACTCTTCAAGGTTTAAGGCAGACTTCTAGCTCAATATAGTGAATTACGTTAAAGGAAAACATCCAGTGATGGCCTCGATCTGTATGATGCCTCCAAATAGGAAAATGTTAGTTTGATACATAACTGAGAATATACTAATGGTTTAAGAGAAATTGTCATGTGTGTTTATTTTTTTGTGTTTATTCTGGCTTTGTGCTACGTCGATAGCGTTGCGTTTGGTTTGTTGCATTTTGATTTATAGGCTGGTCCCTATAGCAGACGTAGGGTAGGGACGTGCTGGCGGCTGCGCTGTGTCCAGCCAGAGCAGGGGGCATGGCTCCTGGCCGTGCTCCGGGTCTGTCTGCAGAGCGGGAAGCCAACATTATAGTTAAATCATGTTCTTGCCAATGCAGGGCTGAAAATCGCCTGCTCCAGGGGAGTTTGCTGCCCACAGACTAGCTTCCAAAGTTGTGGTAAGGGTGAAGGATCTGTAGTTTGAATACTACATTGCGTGAGCTAAATAATCTGCAGGGGTTTCCTGGAAAGATAATCCAGCCCGGTTCCTGTCATTCAGGCCCAGGGAAACATGCTGACTCTGTACGAGTTGGGGTGCGGTTTTTTAGCGGGGGGAGAGAGTGTTGTTTCCACAAGAATTACATAGCCATCCCACTCCTAACATCATATCTGGGAGTCAGAGTTCTGCAAGCTTTGTGCATTTAATTAGACAGCTCATCCTACTAACCAGAATAGTTTTCTGAGTTAGTGTTAATTTATAAACATATGTACCTATTGATGGTTAGGGCGAAATATTTCTGCTGCTGTTAAGATTTATTGGTGATCTCAATGCAGATCCTTTTTTCACTTAACCATGATTGCAATAAAATTTCAAGTGGATCGGTGAAATTGCGGGCCCATGTTAGAGTTAGGATGTGGATGTATGATCCAGAACTATCTTGCAATCGATTAAACAGATTTTGAGCATTAAACCACCATAGTGAAGGCTATAAACAAATTTTTTTGGCTTTGTCACATGACCAAAAGCAACCTTTATGAAGGATGTTTAAACTAAGGGGTAACAGCAAGTCTGCCGCTTGGTGCTAAGCAAAATTTCCATGTAAGCAGGAGATTTGGGGGCCAATGAACTTTGATATTTGTCACAGTTCTAGTGAGTGCTTATTACGACTATACAAAATGTTCTCCGTCATACTAGATGGACAAACTTGAGTCTTCATTGTAGCTATAAAAGGCAATGATAAGGTGAGCTGAAAGGAAATGCCTATGGTAATGCTTGTAGATGCAAAGCTAATATGTAATAACGTATTACTACCTATAATTTCCTGGGATGCATTTCACACCTGGAACATTGCACCTGGAGCAGCAAAGAGAAATATCAATGATATATGTGTAAATAAACCACTCTGATTTTCAGAAGTAACGAAGATCCTAGCTGCATATCGGTGCGTTAGTTGCTTTTACAATCTAGAGAGAGTATCACCAACTTTGATAAGCTTATTTTTCGTAGTGTTAAGAATTAATTATTAATAATAAATATTATTATCTTTGTCATGCTTTCCTCCTTCAACTGAGAATTACATCTTTTTATTATATATAACCTTATGTTTTTATTCATTTTAGACAAGCTCTATATGGGACCAGGGCAACTGTACCATGATCTGCAGAACCTCTTACATGACTTGAATGTAGTTGGTCAAATTAGTCAGTTAATAGGCAGCCTTAAAGGAAACTATCAGGTAATAAACAAAGCTGGATTTATTTTTCAAATATGTTCTGTTGTAAAGTAGTGTAATTGCCTCTCCCTAGGATCTGTGTGAGACATTCTTTAGTTCTCTCTGTAAAGAGTGTAATAATTTTTACCTCTAGTAATTCATTTACTGTTAACTGTTTAGCGTTATAAGTAAATTATAGCTGTCTTTCTAATCTTGTTTTTCTTTATTGTTTTTCTTTATGGTTTTTAAGCGTAGGTGGATAGTACAAGTGTCTGCATTTGCTTGGTAGCTGATAAGCCTATATGGAAACAGAATTACATTTTGATCTTAAGAAATTGGATTCTTGCAGTTAGACAAGGTAGTAGGAGGATGGTTGTTTGGAGGAAGCTCTTGATGCCCATCCAAGCTCATAATCCTGGCTTCTGGGAGGAGCTGTTCTTTAAACTGAGTGTAAATCACAAAAATATGAAAGGATTTTCAGAGGAATTTTGAAAGTAATTTGCTTTGGCTTTGTTCACATCCCTTTTATTTGGCTTATATTCTGGCAAACAGATGTAGTACTTCAACACAGAATTTCAGACTGAGTTCTCCACAGTCTTAAGACTTAAAAAAATTGCTTTTTTGCCTTTGTTTTACATGTTTTATGTATGCTTAGGCACAATTTTTAACTCCTACGTGCCACCATAGGCTGTAAATATATATATGTGTGTGTATGAATACATATATGAAAGCTGATTTTCTCTTGGGATATGTTGCCTTCAGAGTCAAGGGCATTAAATAAAACATAACGTTTTGTGAAAATATGTACTACGAAGGAAGTTTATGGAAACAGTACTTGTGGACAAAATTTCACAAGTATTGGAAAGTGAATTTCAGCTGCATTATTGGGAATATGTATAGCACGGGTACCATAAGACATTCACCCGTTAACATACACAAAACCTTTCTGCCTGTACTGCCAGTCAGAGCCAACTAAGTTTTGAAAACTTTAAATTGCAATCAATGATTCCAGATAGAGATGTGTAAGATAATTAGAACAGTTTAGTTGAGGAATTTTTGAAAAATACTTCAGTTTTCATAAAATTCTGACTGTGGAAAATTAGTGTACTTCTGTGTATGAATACTCGTTACTATTGATGCTTTAAGTGTCATTCAGGTGTGCTTTTACCCTTTGTGACCTAACACTCAGCTTGCAGAGGTTTATTGTTTCAGCATCCTACTTAAACAGATTCCAGCTACACAGACAGCTTTCATGATGGCTCTCTAAAGATTTTTGGGTTGAAAATTTGAATAAAAACGTATTGGCAGGATGATATGTAGACATTTTCCTGAGATTTTCTTTAGAAACAGAATTTATGGGTCTATATAACTCCTCATTGAAATTAAGTAAAAGGGTTGTGTGTATACCTGATGCAAACTTACCTTTCTTAATCTGACAAATGCTTGGGAATGTCATTTGTGTATCATCAAACTCTGAGCAATATGAGATTAAATCATCAGACAAAACATTAGCAAATTTTTTACAGATTTTTTGAAATGTGTTTACAAATATGGCTAAATTATCCATGATTACAATGTGGACTAAAGGAGGCCCAGGTGCCAGGAATTGTTTGTTATATGCAGAGATCACCTTAGTAAACCTGTTGGAAATAGGCCAGTAGGCTGGTGTTGAATCTTAGGTTTTTTTAATTTTTCAGAACTTAAACCAATCTGTAGCCCATGACTGGACTTCAGGTTTACAAAAACTGATTTTGAAAAAAGAAGATGAAATCAGAGCGGCAGATCGCTGTAGAATTCAGCTGCAACTCCCAGGAAAACAGGATAAGTCAGTAGTAATCTTGGTTACAAAACTTTCTAAATGGGCTTATGTATTAGGCATAGATGTACCAGGGAGGATTTGGGCATCTGTAGCTCTTCCCCCTCTTCTGTCCCCACAGTCAGCCTCTGACTTCTGTTCTTGTGCCACAATGCTGGGAACTTGCATGTTCCAGGGCAGCGTTGTAGTTTTTCTCCTATTCCTCAACCCTGCGTTCCAGATGCAAGATACAAGAGAGGGACCGTGGCAGTGACACCTAATCGGGAACAGCCACCTTTACCAAGGAGGGTGTGCTTCTCATACCACTTGACGTAAAGCATAGGAAGACGGGCGTATGGCGTATCATAGCCTGCATGCTTGTATTGGAGCTGTGTCTTTGTCTAAGTATTAGAAAATAATGAAATTTCATCTTGCTTAACATGTCTAGCCTTGACTGTATCTCATGCTCAGTGCATTTAGAGTGGCTTTTTTTGGTTGTTTGTTTGTTTTGCAGGTCTGGGCGGCCCACTTTCTTTACAGCTGTGTTCAATACATTTACCCCTGCCATCAAACAGTCCTGGATCAACAATTTGCAAATGGCTAAACTGGCCCTTGGTAATCTCTAGTTATTTAAATTTCCTATCAAGTTAAGATAGCTCTCAATGTACAGTGTAATTTTTGTATTTTTCTTTTTTAGAAATTTTTTTGGGGGTGAAAAAAAATCTATCTGCAGATGATAAAATTGCAATACAGTAAATAATAGTGATTGTGTATTGTGTATTATTTTAGCTAGGAAAATATCAGTATTTTAGCTAGGAAATACCAATAAAGCTGTTGGGTTCGTTTGTTTAGCTTTGACCATGAAGTAAACTTACGGGTGTAGTTTTAATATAATGCAAGATTTCTATAGTTGGATATGTAAAATTCAATTTTGGAGGGGAGAGGTTTTTTGTTTTTAAATCTGTTTTTAAATCTGTAGATTTCTAAAAAATCTATAGTCTTCACTGGAGGGATTACCACAAACAAACCTGATCTAAGTGGGAGCAATAAAGAATGTGGTGTCCTGTTATTAGTCTACTGTGTTTGCACAGGGGGTCTCGGTTTCCAAAGATACCTGGGATTTTGAATGCCTAAGTTGAGAAACACTGAGGATATGCACTTGCTAGAAAGCAAGTTTCACCAGCGCATCCTCAAGATACAGTGCTTTTATGGTCTTTTGCTGAAGGCAGGCAAAATAACAAAAACAGAAGAAGAGAGAATGGATGTCTCCACCATCCCAGGGGGAGGTTCCTTACTATTATGACAAGTAATAGTTGGTAGCGATGTCACTTCTACAGGCGGGAGAAATGCTATTTGCCAAACAGATCTCCTAGAGTCTGAGGAGAGGTTTGATGTGCCTTTTCCTCTTTTAATAACCTACTGACAAGGTCATTAAGAGAACACCCTTAACATTTCGCTAATGTAAGCTGTTCTTTTTTTGCATTATCAATATGTCTGTAATCTACCATATTGAATTTTTGCTCATAGTTTTACTTTGTCATTTATGCATATATGGCATAAGAACAGCCTGATCAGTATTAACCAATCTTAACAGAATTCTTTTGGATTCCTGTAGAGATGTGTAAGTGATTATTCGGTAAAAGTATTGTGGGATGTTTGTTGTTTCTTCTTTCCATTACAGCAGAGGATAACCTGTTAGGTTGGTTCTGTATAGAAGATGATGGGAATCAAATCAAAAAGGAAAAACATCCTCTCCTTGTTAGACACATGCCAGTGATGATGGCCAAGCAACAGGAGTTTAAGGTGAACAGAATTTTTATGAGATTACAGTTGCTTTTCTTGTGTGATACAACTGCTAAAGAATACCATATTGTAAATACATCTGTTAGTTCTCTTGAGTTAGTACGTTGGCTTCACATCTGTTAGTTCTCTTGAGTTACTACCTTGGTGTAAGACCAGTAGCAATGGAAGGTCCAAGAGGGTCATGGGAAAGCAAAATACTGCAATCTTCAAGACGCTAAGGAACATAGTGTTTACTTATATATAGTATGACATTCGCTTTCAGATGTAAGCTCATCACTCAATGAAAACAGAACTGCTGGGAATGTGGAATTGGTTTTGAGGTTTCCAAGTGTTTGTTTGAGGCTCCAAAGTAACCTGCAGCTCACAAAGTGCAGGAATCTGATCTCTGTGATAGCTGTCCTGTACTGGTGTAACTATGTTGAATCCTCCTCAAATTTCTGATTTTCATTTGTGCACAAAGAACAATGGCTTTAAAATAATTTCTAAAAATTCAGTTTTATGGAGTCTTATATAAAATGTAGTTCTGTTCTGAACAGCGATACAGAAATCATTTTAATGGTTCATTTCCTAAAGTAATGGGTCAGTTTGAAGTCATATTGACCGCTGGCTTTAATGATGAAAATAAGTACAGCATGTCCAGACCAACAGATGGAAGGCAAGGGTGCTGGACACTATTTTTTCCTATGCATCAACAGGATTTCTTATTGATCATCAGTTAGTTAGGCTTGTGCAAAAACACTAATGGAAATAAAATTGTATATGTATGGCCAGAATCTCAATGTTAAATTAACATCATTGCATGGGTGGGTACCGCTCAAAGCAGAAAGTCTGCAGACCCTTGTTGCTGCAGCAGCCTACACAGAAGAGAAGTTCAGCTGGCAGCTTCACTTCAAGTGTGAGTATACAGGCCTGGATGTTAGGGGAAAATAATTGCTAGCTGGAAATGCATTTGAAATGTGTAACAGTGTTAAATCTTTAAGCCATTCCTCTGATACTGGTTTTCAGTGCAGAGCTGTGGTTTACAGCAGCCAAAGTCTACTAAAAGTCTCTGGTCTCCCATACAACCATCATCGTTGTTGTGTTATTAAACCGTTAGCTTTTCCTATATTGCATACCTTCTAAAGTCACCACTGGTGAAATAACCAAGCTAATTTAATTTTTTGCAGAAGCTTAAAATATTTGTGTTTCCTTAGAGCATTTCCTTATGCATTTTTAACTCCTGTAGGTCCATACCAGGAGCCTTGAAAGCCCAGGCTCAACTCCTGTAATCAAGTTACAACAAGACCTGCTTGTTTTGAAAGGAAAGTCAAGTCTGTTGCCCATACATTTGGGTGATGGTCTTTGCCTTGGTCACTTCAGGAGAATACAGCGTGTGGCAATATTTGCCTGAGCTCTGGGTCAACTTTGCCAGTTTTGCAGCCCCTAAAGATAGAATCACAGACCCATAGAATCGTTTA